TGGCTTTGTTTTTGAAAAAAAAAACTTTTCAATTTAATGTCATCAAAATTATCCATTTTGCATTTCATAATATCTCTTCTTTGGTCATAAATTCTTCTGTTCTCCATAAATCTGACAGGTAAACTATTCCTTGCTGAGTGTTTTTACTTCTTAAAAAAAAAAATAAGGACCAGTCATTCCCACCAACAATGCAAAAGGCAACCTTTTCATGCCTTCATATCTTATGTAAATCATATCCATACTCAAATGGATCTGCAATCTCATCAATTCAAGAGTTCCCTCACATTATGCCAATCACAACCCATCCATGCCTGCTAATCTTATGCAACTCTTCTCCAGGTCTTCCTATAAGATCACCACAGAGGGTCTATCCAAGGTCCTGAAGGCCTTCTTTTCTCCTGACATTGCAAGGGTATTGGTGGAAAACACTGCCAGGCCAACTGTCATCATTCTTGCAACACAATAAGCACATCTTTATTTCCTATGACACAGTTCATCTTTTATTCCTGCTCTCTGGAGTTTCTTATTAATTATATCTGAAGGTCTACCTACCTAATGCCTTTCCATTGCCCTCTGTGTGATGCTTATTTTTAATTTGCTATTGATATTTATATCCTTTATCTCACCATCAGGCCATCAGGCAACACAAACGAAATGTTAGTATCAAAAATCCTTTGTTTTCATGGGAAGTTCAGGATTAGTAAGGAATTTTTGAAATTTCCTGAAAGCAAGCCTACCTGTCCTCCTATGAAATTCTGGGCCTTATTTTGTCCTTCTGTCTGTCACTGGCACACATACTGACTGACAAACACTATAAATGTCCATCAGATGCATATTGAAATCTGGGCAATAAATATTCTGCATGCATTGAAAATTCAGACTCTTTGGCATGATTACTGTTGTCTTCTAGAAGGCTTTGCAGCATCCTGGAGACTGATTCAAGCAGCTTATTGTTCTCTCCAAACTGGGGCATCTAGAAGATCTCACTATGCATAGGAAATTTCTCTTTGACCTGAATTCTACATTAGAGCTCCTACATCACAGTGATGAATACTTGTGACAAGCATACCTGCTTCCTGACTTGCCTATGTATTATCAGAGGTTCATTGAAAAGTTATTTCTGTTACACATTCCAAGGATCCATGAATGCTCTTGATATATAGATAGGTTATACTTTGCTGTAAGAGAGTCTATAAGATGATGTTTTGTTCTACTGGATTTTTTTGGGGGGTGAGTAGAGGGGGGTAATCAACAAACTAAATACAATGAGATAGCAATTTTTAATTCATTTTCAGTTAATTATAAGATAGCAAATATGTGGCATGCTGTCAATTATAATTTGTGAAAGCTTACTTGGTCCCTATTAATAAGCTTCTTGAAAATAACGTGATACACAGGGAGATTAACTCTCATAAAGCTTTTGTACACATGGGAGAATAGACATACAGGTCAGTAGTTACTATTGTTTTCTTGGTCATCTTTTTTCAATATTAAGGTCTGTGATTTTTTTTTTGTTGGCCATGCCTTTGGTATCCTTCCCTTCTTCAGCTATCCTGTTTATTAGTCCCTCAGTGCCTTCACAATTGTCAAGTCCAGCCTAGATTGTGTAGGTGTATGAGTGTGTGTATTCTTGGTCCAATCCAGCTGCTTTTCTTTAATTCTACTTTCTATATTTGGTCATATTTCCCTAAAAATCCTCCATGCAGGATGGGGGTTCTCTCAATGAGTGAGGGCCTTCCTTTAGGTTTCCTAAAACATTAGAAGGACCTGGAACTTAAGAACACCTCAAAACAAGTGTGTGTGTGTTTGTGTGTGTGTGTGTGTGTCTGTGTCTGTATGTCTGTGTGAATTGATGTACCTGGTCCTTCTAATTTTATTTACATTACATAGATACTAGAGAAACATGTAGGCTAGCCATGTTATTATTTGATTACAACATGATTAGCTGACTTTTCCTTTTCCAGGAATATATTTCTTTCATTAGTCTCTTTCAAAAATCTTAATTCCCATAAAATTATGTTTCCTACAGCATGGACCTCCTCTCTATATATGTAGTATACACCAGCTGTACTTCACACCTTTGGGTTTTTTGTTTGTTTGTTTGTTTGTTTAGTGTAATTACTACTTATTCCTATAGCACATCGGAGACTAATCTGAGAGTCCAAAAATTATGACTGGGGCTATGAGTATTGTTTAGAATTCTTCACAGATCTTTTCCATTCTTGTGCTTGAAATTTTTATCTTAAATACTCTTAAGGTGTTTTGGCAACTCCACCAATTCTTCATTTGACTCTCCATGGAGAATCAATGAGCCATCTTTCCATTTAGCTATGACTTCCTGTCATAAAAGAGTTTCATTTGTAGTAACAATATTATACTGTCAAAATTCAGTTCTTCAGGTAATATCTCTTCAATCACTAGAAAAAGTTAATACAATTATAGTTACAACAGCTAAGTTAATATAGGTGGACAGCCTAAAACCAGCATGACTCTTAGCACAATAGGCCCCTTTCTCTACCACTCTTCCATAGCCACTCTATAGAAGGTAGCCACACAAGACTGAGGGCCATTTACTACCACATCAAACTTTCCATTAACTTGTTTTTTCCCTCTGCTGCTTCTCATTGTTTTATAATCTACCATCCTCCTTTTTAAAGTTTTACAAATTACATTTCAAACTATTGTTTCTTTTGATGCCAAATCTTTCTTTTTTCCTAAATGTACAAACATTTACTGGTTGAAGTTGTTTTTAGACTCTCTTGGCCTTCTCATTATGACAATTGATCTACTTTTGCTACATTTCATTAGAAAATCATAGTCTTTGTTGATACAGTTCTTTTATTTCTTCTTTTCTTGTATCAATTGCTTGTTCAAATTTCAGGTTGAAGATGTTTTATTCCTTACCATATATCCTAATTTTTATTCTTTTGTCCAGTTGTTTTTTGATATTGATCTTTTCATGTCAGTTGTCTGACTGTACACAACTAATTCAGCATTTTCTGTCATTTCCTGTCTAAAGTATAATCAATTTGATTTTTTGTCATGTCATTCAATACCCACTATTTTTTGAACTTTCCATTCTCTCTTATTGAAGAAAGCATGATCTTTGGTGTGAGGCTTCTGTATAATCAACAAGCTTTTGACTTTTCATTTATTTCTGAAGCATGTTTTCTAACATTTTTTCATCATCCTCTTTTATGCATACCTTTGCACTGAAGGTTATCAAGTATGTATGTGTTAATTTGATTTCAAGTGTTTTATCAAATTCACATAACTTTCCTACCTCCTAATATTCTACAGCAGATGTTGGTACAAAAATTGCAATTATCTTCATGGTATTCTTTTTCTAAAAGATCATCATGAACATTATAATACAAAATGATCAAATACCCCATAAAATGTTTCTGTTTATCTTTGTATACATGATAAAACCAATTCCACCAATTCAGTTGTCTCTCAATGGAGAAACATGAGCGATCTTTCCATTTATCTATGGCTTCCTTTTATACCATAGTTTCATTTATAGTGACAATTTATAGACAGACAATATTTAGTTCTTGTAATAGAATGTCTCCTACATCACTAGAGTAATATATCATAATTATAGTAACAAGTTAATGTGTATGGATGGCTTAAAACAATATGATTCTTAGAACCCTAGACAGCTTTTTCCTATCACTCTTCTTACAGTCACTGCAGAACTGGAAGGTAGCCATACAAGACTGAGAGCCATTTGCTAGCTTCTTTTGTTACACTGGTTGCTATGGACAACATAGGTACCAATCTAGTGGCCAAACCTACCAGGAAATGGGCTCTCCATCCTTCATAGTCTGATCCCAAGGCAGCAGGCATAGACTGTCATTAAAACCATATTTCAAATTCTTCTAATTTGGCAGAACCTACCAATGTTTTCCCTCCATTGGCACTGCCTTCAAAAATGTAGGTTCACTTCCACACCACAGAGACACATCAGAGGAGGGCTTTGTGGAGGAGGCTGATTTTATACCAGTCATTTTCAAAATATAATTTGTAACTAAATTGCTATAATTAATCATCCTTTTCTTTGAAGAGTAAAATATCACTTAAGAGATTAATGACTTTCTTGGTAATCATGTTTGAGAGGACAATTAACAGACATAAATCTCTACAGCTCAAGCTCAAAGTGCTTAAAGGATGCTCCCAAAGGCATTCAGAATAAATTTTGCTACTGTTTTCAAAATCAAAAGGCAACTACATAGACAAGGCCATTGATTCTCCATGAATAAAGAAGTATTTTTGTGGTCACAACTTTGAAATAACTGCCAGTTTTGTAGCATAGTTTCTTTGATAATTCTGTTCATAAATTCACAGCAATAAGCGTAATGATGGGAAAGTCAGAATTAAATTTAATTATGTCACATACCTAAGTGGTTAAACTACAACAAACTAAGTCATATTAAATAAAGGATATCATCCCAAGGGACCATATTAAGTGATCTGCTTTTGACATGAATAATTTTATAATTACCTTCCAAATAAGACATTTTAAGTCATCTCTAGTAAAATTACATATTAATATTGTATATAAATAGTTGCTTCAAATATGAAAACAATCCAAATATATCATAATCCAAGTACATTGTAAAGAGAAACTAGTTCCTTCCTCCTAAACAACTTCTGAATTATTGGTAGATTTATATTGCTCTTGTCTGATAACCCTTTTCTTTTCTCTTTTTCTGTCATAACTTTGTCCTAAACAAATGGCATTGAAACACAAAGTTACATTGTGATCTGAAATATATCTTAAAACTTAGTTGCTGTTTGTTAAGAGTAAATACAAAACAGAATTGTCCTGGAACTTGGAAAAATCCTGGGAAAAAAAGGTGTTGAGTATTCTTTTTTTTTTTTTTGCCTATTGCAAAAGATCAATTCCCTTTAAACACTCTAAAATTATATTTTCCAAGAAAAGAAATAAAAAAAAGTCATCACAACAGAGGAAAAATATTTTATTAGGTTAGTTTTGGACTTATGACAGGAAAATAGTATGTCATTTAATCAAAATTACTTTGACATAAAATATATTAAATACAAAACATGCTTTAGAAATTTTGCACCAGGTCCTCAAATGATGTAGAAAACTGGTTAATAAGTAACAATTTTCAGATGCATCCCATTGAAAATATTTAGCCAAGTGGTCATGACAACTATCATATTATAACTATAGTCCTAGTAGTCTTATTTCTGTAATTGAAGTAAAAACTAAATCAACCTTTGCTGGTCCTTTTAACCTCACTCTTTCTATAACTATACATTTCCATTTCACTTCAATTTGCCCAGTGGATTATGTCGACATTAGGATGGAGCAATGTGCCCAAATCCAGGTTCTTCCATGCAAGTGATAGAATTCTTCCGGTAGAACTCCACCTTCAAATGGTTAACCCTCACGTGCTCTCTGTTCATCTCTTCCACAGGTTTATATATATGTCTTCCATAAATAGAAGATGTCAATACTCCAATAGGTCTTGCCCATTCCTATTGAAAATTGAAGACATTTTACATATACTGACTAAAATCAGAATGACCCATCATCATGTCCATCCTATTGTTTCTTGCTGTAGCAATAATTTCTGCCAGGATTATTCAAGGCCATGATGTTTGGGGGGAAGCAGGCCTGTTTATTTATTGTGGAAAAGAATGAAATGGCCCATTACCATCATCACGTGTAGTCCCTGAAAAAATCTTTAGGGGAAGCAATAGGATCATAAAAATGTAAAAACCATTGAGTGATTAACTTCTCACAGATCACTACAATTCATGACAAAATGGGAATATTTTGTAAGTAAAATAATGGCATTCTCAAACTGGCAAATATCATAATTTTGTTGTGTCTTCTTAAAAAGGTAAAAGACAAAGAAAATCTAGATCATGCCTGATTCTTTCCTCTCCACAGGATCATAGATTTAGAGCTGAAAGGAACCTTTGAGATCATATGGTTCAATGGCTTCCATTTACCGATAAAGAAATGGAAATCCAGAGATGTGAATTAACTTTACCCATGGTAATCCTAGAAAATAACGAGTAGAACAAGGATATGAAATCCATGTCCTCCAATTTCAAAGCCCATATTTGTTTAACTACACATTATTGTTATATAGATACATGTAAATACAGTTAAAATATACTGCAATGCTTCAAGGATTCCCAATTTTGTTGATATGAGTACTTCTTCCATCAATGCTTAAAGCAGCACTTGAACTTAGCAGTTGCTATAGCCAAAATCTGTATTACCCCATTGCCTCTCCAAACCTAGCTTAACTTAGGACTTAGGATGACAGTAATGCAGTCCACTGCCAACTCAATATTCAAGAAACCTTTTGCATTCATGCTACCTTTATCTATTCTAGTGAAGTTTTTTGTTCTTTTGTTTTTTGGCTATGCAATGGGGTTAAGTGACTTGCCCAGGGTCACACAGCTAGTAAGTGTCAAGTGTCTGAGGCTGGATTTGAACTCAGGTCCTCTTGACTCCAGGACTGGTTTTCTATCCACTGCACCACCTAGCTGTCCTTACCTTCATCTATTCTATAGGAATCTTTTACCTACCTAATTATTTGCATGTTGCCTCATACTGTCTCCCCCACTAAAATTAAATGAGAAACAGATAAAATGGAAAACAAAAATACTATAAAAATTATCAAAGTAAAAAGTGGATCTCTGAAAAGACTAATACAATGAATAAAACTTTAACCTGATCAAAAATAAAGAAGGGGGGAAATCAAATGGACAAAACTGAAAAAAAAGAAAGGTACAACAAATGACAAAGAAATAAAAAGAATGTCAATCTGCTATATACATTAATATGCCAGTAAAACTAAGAACTAAAAAAGAATGGATGATTACCTACAAAAATATAAAATGTCCACATTAACTGAACATGAAAGAGAGATTTTAAACAACCTAGTCTCAGAAAAGGAAACTGAACAAGCCCTAAAGGAAATGCTAAAGGAAAAAATAAACCTTGGTCTAAGTGGATTTACATATGAATTCTATCAAATGTTTAAAGAGCAATCCATAATTATGCTACTCAAACATTTTTTAAAATTTAAGATGCAAAAACTCAACTAAACTTCTTTCATGAGATAACTATGGCCCTAATACTAACAAGGAAGGATAAAGCAAAGAAAAGCATTAATGAACACTTTATATTTTGAAACAAAGATTCTATACAAAAGTCTAGGAGAAAAATTACAGCAACACATCCACACAATTATTCATTATGACCATGTGATATAAGGATGGTTTAACATTTGGAAAATAATGAACACAAATTATCTAAACATCCCAAACAACATTTTTATATCAAGAGACGCAGAAAAATCTTTTGATAAAAGTACAATATTCATGTACAGTAAAACCCCACAAAGCATAGGTACAGAATGTCTATTTTTAATCTGATAAAAATATATATGTAAAATGAAAAACTAGAATTATTTGTAATAAGAGAATATTAGATGATCTTTCATTAAAGGCAAGATTAAAGCAAGAATGCCTTCCTCCTGCCATTATTTGATATCATTCTAGTATTAACAGTAGCAATAAGATAAGAGAAAGAAATTAAAGGGGGCAACTAGGTGGGGCAGTGGATAGAGCTCCTCTGGCCTTGCAGTCAGAAGGACCTGAGTTCAAATGCAGCCTCAGACACTTGGCACTTGCTAGCTGTGTGACCCTAGACAAGTCACTTAACCTCCTATTACCTCACCAAAATAAAAAAGAAAAGAAAAAAAAAGAAATTAAAGGCATATATGGGTAAATAAGAAACAAAGTTATTTCTTTTGTAGACAATATGATTTTTCATTTAGAAAACCCTAGAGAAATAGCAAAAAAACTAAATGAGCCAATTAATAACTTCAGTAAAGTAACAAGACACATGCATACACACACACACACACACACACACACACACACACACACATTTAAATCCTTGTTGTCACAAGGGTCTTTGTAGCTGTATAGTTCAATGATTGTAATGACCTTTGTAGCCAAAGTATGTAATAGTCATTTGTAGAATGTTGCAGGTTCTTTTAAAATATTATCTACAAGAAACAAACCAAAGGAGGAGTCAGTTGAAATATAAACAATATCCTATTAAAAAAAAACACCAGTGGATATTCTCAATAAAGTGCTGAGATATAAAAGAACGTAGGATATGTCATACTTTCTATTACACATTCAGATTCATGATAGATGCTTCAATCCCTAAGCTATATAAAGCAACCTGTACACCAAGTTTAGTTTTTTGTTGTTATTAAATTAACCTAATTGAATGTATTATTTTTAAGCTTTCTTTAAAAAGAACATGACCACAGTCAACGTGTCTAAATGTTACCTCCTCATTAACCTTGAGTCCTATGCTTTTGGCATGCTCTCGATCATCTCGATGCAATTTTTGATTGTAATCCAGAGGCCTTTTAAAAATGCAATCAAATATGGAAACAACTCCTGTCTTAAAATAAAGAAAAAAAATTAATTTTCTGATTTGAAAATTACACACAAGTTACAATGTGTTCTAACTAGGAGCCATTATGATTAAAGTCTTAAATAATGTTATCTTTTAACTCAAGAATCAATCCTGCTTTATTCCAGCATCAATATTTTAAAGAATGTTCCCCTATGCTATCTACCTCCAGAGAAAGAACTGATGGAGTTTAAATGCAAATCAAAACACACTATTTTTCTCTTTATTTTTATGGAGATTTTTTGGTCTGTGTTTTCTCTCACAACATGACTAATATGGAAATACGTTTTGCATGATTGCACAAATAAAACCCATGTCAACTTACTTGCCATCTCAGGGAGGGGGAGAGGAGGGAGGAAGAGAAATTTAGTACTCAATATTTTAAAATAAGAATGCTAAAATTGTTTTTATGTGTAATTAGGAAAATATTATTCAAGAGGCAGCTAGGTGGCCCAGTTGATAAAGCACCAATCGACCTGGAAGTCAGGAGGACTTGAGTTCAAATCCGGCCTCAGACCAAACACTTGACACTTACTAGCTGTATGACCCTGGGCATTCCCATCACCTTTAGGATCAAATATAAACTCTTCTACTTGGAATTCAAAGCTCTTCATGACCCGAGGCCATCTAAGATTTGCAGCCTTCTTATATATTACTCCCCTCCAAGTACTTTATGGTCCAGTGAAACTGGCTTTCTTACTGCTCCTCCCTCACAATACTCCATCGCTTGTCTTTGTTCCTTTTCATTAGCTAACCCTCATATCTAGAATGAACTCTTCTTTTCTCATCACAACTTCCATTGTCTTCCCCCCACTAAAAAAACAGACAAACTATCTTGTCTCTATTTTATTTAAGTAACCCATCTTTTGGAACCGTACCAGAAAGTTTGAACACAGAGCAAGTGGAGATAGGGACAGGGTTAAGTGTTGGTAGAT